TTTTTTGATTAATGATAATTATAAATACAGAAAAACAAAAAAAACTAGATGGTATTCGAGCTTCACTCGAATACGAAATGCGGTGCGAAGCACATGTGCCGAGAATCCGAACAACGAATTTCGAATCGAAATCGAATAGTTGCTCTACATATCCCTGAAGTTACTGCTCATAATCTACGTCGTAGTTCTAAGATTATTAAGGATGTTTCTCAGTAAGGGATAATCGATAAAAAAGATCTTTATTAAACAGCTGATCTAACCTAGATTCGAAATGACCAGCGCCATAATAAAATTCATCACCACGAGAACTCTATAAAAGCCTATCAACACTTTTCTGAAAGACGATTTCGATTGATCGTTTAATTATCTATATAATTCATTATCTACAATCAGCTGTGATTACAGCTGTTTGATATATGAAGAAAGACAATGGCGCCTAACTTTTCTCTTCATTTTCATTTTAATTATCTCAAAATAAGGAAAATACAAAGTCCTCAAAAATGTGTCATTTTTGGAAGCGATTTGTGAGAAATCAGAAATTGTTGTGGAGATGAACTCAAAAGATATTATCAGTTCGATGTCGATACTAGGATCTCGCGTTTCAACTACTACTTTCGGAGTTTTAGTTGTCGAGATCATCGCGATTTTAAGTGTTATTGTTTCTTATATAGTTTGATGGTCCCAAGTCTCCTCTTTTCAATGGTGAAAGCCGCAGCTCTCTCTCTTGTTTCTATCAAAATTTATTCGCAACCAAAAAGTATCCGGTGATATTTAGACCATCCTATATATCGGATTATGGACATTGGTGCATTATATATGTATTGTATTCTTTTTTATTGGCTAGTCATAAGAAAAGCGGATCGAAAGATTTAAATTATTAATAAATCTCATTGTATCTAGAATTTTTTGCATGTTATTATTCGTCTTATTCATACTATTCACCCCTTGCATTGAATAGTATTCAACTTTTTGTCTTTATTTTGATATTTCAATACAACATAGAGGCTTGCTCATATAGTTGATAAAAGCAATGACACTTCGTCACTATTAAATTATAAAATACTTTACAAGTCTGCATAAAGAATACTGAAACGAAACCATTATGGAGAGAACAGATAAAATCATTGTATATAATAGAAAACAGCATTACAATTCCAACAAAACATTCCTACATGTATTAAAATAGAAAAAAAAATTCATAAAATAAAATATGCAGACAAGCAAGAACAAATATTGTATCATAGATAGTTATTTCGTAAAAGATTTTACCTTATACAAATTGAATTCAACAAAAACAATGACGATGTTAGAAAAATTAAATGTCGCCTCAAAGTTCTAGACTCTGAATGTACTTGTATTAAAAACAGTAGTCTTATGTTGTATGAAAAATCATCCGAAATATCGTTGAAATTTTTTCTTCTATTATCGTGAAGAATTCAGCAAAAGAAAAATTTCTTATCTATTCACGTTTAATAAAGAACTCTCGATTAAATCTAGACAGTATGTTATGTTTAATTTGTTCTTCTGTGTTATCGATTGATGTGAAATCTAAAGAAAACATGACAATGAATATAACATAAGGAAGGTTATGACAAACAAAAATAGGTTCTTTCATATGTCCTTAAAAAGAGAAGAAAAAAAAACTTGGAGCAAGTATAATACAAAAAAAAATATCAAAGTTCAACTTGATTGAAGATTTTAATAAAACGTTATGGGCTATTGGTTCAAACTTTATCTAATATAAACCGAAAACCAGATCATCATATGAATATATGCGCTTGGATTATCTGATTCTGACAAAACTTAATTAGAGAAACGTTCTTTTTATCGTGTATTGCCCTTATTCTTATTTTCATACCGAAAAATGTTTAATCATTGACTAATTTATCAGTGGTTTTGTTTAATAAATTATGTAAAGATTGTACCTTAAGAACATAGACATTTTCTTTTATTCCGCAGCTTTTATAGTTACTTATCAAGTAATGATTAAATTTTATAAAGCGACGAAATTGTCGATGTAATTATTTTATTATATTTAGTTCTTTATATATCTACTGATTTATTCTAATCATAGGATTAATTTAACATAAAAAAAAGTCAAATTTCATATTAATACAAGTAGCTGCTTAATATATCAACTCTTCTCTATTGCATATTGAATGTTGTCGTTCAATTCCACTCGAAGTTTTTCTTCAGTTAACAATTGCGTACATATCTTCGATATAATCATTAAGATAGATCATATGCTTGGTTCTATAACACATAGAATATTTTTGTACTCTGTACCTAGTGTAATTCAAAACCGTGCATCAACAACAAAAAAAGATAAAATGAAAGATATGCATTCATTTGTATATTTTTCATCTTCATGATGTTAAGAATGTATCGTTTATTTGTATTCATGTTTTACTTCATCATGCTTGTTAATGGTTCAAAAAGATCAAAAATGACTTCGAAAGGTAAATATTTCTTTATAAAAATAACAAAAAAAAAACTAACATAACCTTTTAATTTATAGAAATCAATGATTGTTATGAAAAATCTAAAGATTTAAATACAGGTTGTGATTTTATAAAATGTTTTCATGAACGTTATCATTGTAATGATGAAAGTGTCACAGCATGGGCACTGGAATTATGTCAACAATTTCCAAAAGAAATTATTCTTCAATTTACGCCTCCAGTAAAATTGACGAATTTTTTTTAATGAAATTCTTTTTATCATATTATATTTTATTTAAATAGGGAATACAAATGATGATTAATATGCAAAATTGCACACAAAATTTTCTTGCACGAACATTTCGTCAACGAAAAACATTAAATTGTGATGCATTTGAACCAAAATATTTTTCAAATTTAGCTAAATGCTATGCAAATGAACAAAATTTTTGTCAAGTATTCAAAGATAATAGACAAATTTTTATGCAACAAGCAACAGTAGTTATGTTTAAAAAACCTCGGTAAATTCTTTTATTTTTTGGAAGTAAAAACAAAATGATAAAAAGAATTTTATGACCTTGAAACGTAAGGAGGCGAGTAATATAGCAATACAAAGATCATTTTCTTATCGTTAATATGTCATACGTTTGTATTTATCCCCAACTGGTATAGATTGGCTAGGTCTTATCATGAGAAAATCGATTCGCATCAATACACTCGAAAGATAACAGAAAAATCAAAACAAACAATTATAAACTATGTCAAAATAATCTTATTAATTTGATCGACGTCTTAAGTTTTCATCATAAGAACAGATTTTGTGAGAAGTATTGATCTATGTAAACCAATGATATATTTTACAAGTCAGTTTTTTTGATCGTCTCGAAAAAGAAAACTTTCCTTCTGTGATGGTTAGGTGATGAAATGTGATGATTATTGCTTTCGACTATCACAATACCTCACAAGGTTGACTCATTGCCTTTCACATTGACGCGTCGTCGACTTTGTTATCTTAAATAGCAATATTCTCCAAAATTTGACATGATGTGTGAAAAATAAGATGCTAAATATAATTATCGAAAGTTACAGACCGATGATCTTTTGCACGTAGCTAATAAATTTCTAATTTATTCGTTTCTTAATAGTTAGTCATAAATTTGTTTTATGACTAATAAAAATGTCTTACTGACTGTCTCTAAATATATTTCTTTTTTAACTACAAAGATTAGCTACTTCGAAAAAAATCTATCTTAACTGTTAAAATGATTTCGGGATTAGTTTTAATTATTTTCATAAGGATATCTTTAAATTAAAAAAACTTATTAACACATATTTTGTTCTTTTTTAGAGCATTACAAGCATTTTCAATTGGTGCCAAGAATTGTACTCGAATGAATTATTACTAGAAGAAAAAAGAAAACCTTTTTCTTCTTGAGACGAATAATTACAAAAAAAGAAAATTATTACATTCAAATAAGATTTCTTTTTTCTTTTGATTTGAATTAAAAATAAAAAATCATAAAACGATACATGAAATAAAATCAAAAAACAATCACACGTTGGGCACTGGTGTATATGTGTGGGCGTGACTAGATGCAACACGGAAGATCGATAATCATTTGATATGATAATAATAATAATTATTATTATTTATTCTTATCCAAAAAATGTATCCCAATGAGATTTCCGCCCATAGAAATATGTTGGTCGTTTTTTTTGAGTCGAACGCCGATTAGGAAAAAGAAAAAAGGCACGTTTAGCTAATTGAATAACATCTTCTGTATTGCTTGATGATAAATCATTGTGATTATTATTGTCATTATAATAAATATTGTTTCTATGATTTGTTAAATACGTCAATAGTTTAGAATATTCTTCAGAAGGAAATTCTTGTTCATCAGTTTGAACATTTGATTCAAGTCTATCAATATATCGAGCTTGTACTAAATAAAAAAAAACATATTAATTGTCTAAAGTATTATAATATCCAGTTAACTATAGTTACTATAGAGAATAGTTACAGACATCCATAGAATAAAGAATATAGTAGACTGCATTGTTATTGAATAAACCAAGCAGAAGTATGATATACAAAATATTTTGTTGGTAAACTATCTAACATATATATTTATATAAAGATATATAGTAAGGAAGTATGAATAAGCAACTCATCAAAAAAAAAAATATATCAATCGATCGTAATGTCATAAGAGAAAAAATGCTTTATTGCTACGACATGGTTGAGTCAAAGCGAAGAGAAAAACGAATGGGTAATTGATGAAGTCGATGGCCATATCCCGACAATGATTTCTCACCCCGCCTTCTAACAACAAAATTAAAAAAAAATAAACTAGTAATACAAAAGAAACCTTTCATTCGAACAAATTTTATACGAAGGTGCATATGTATATATGCTTAAGGATTATATGTTGTAATTTCTAACAACTTCGATCAAGTATATTTGAAGACTACATTATTTGTAGAAAAAATAAAAATGGTTTTTTTTTGAATGACTATGTTATGCTCGGTTAACTGATTAATCACGTTGACAAGATGAAGTTATTGACTTTGAGAGGGTGTATTTGTATATAATAAAAAATTCTGATGTAATCGAAACAATATGAGTAAAAACCAAGATCAATAATTGTCTATGAATACTTACAAACATATTTGTAGAATATTGCTTCTATATTAAACAACAAAACATATTCATCTCAGAACATACATTGGTTACTATAGAGTATGTATAACATCGAAATAAAAAAAAAAGTATTTTTAGTTTTCTTTTGCTTGTCATAAAATCATACATAATTGCGTTTCAATCAGTTATTTCTATTCCAATTTTCGTTTTTACCTTTCAAGTCATCCATGTTTATTTTCTATTTTTTTTTTCTTTTCGATCTTACAAATATGAAATTAATCGAATGAATAAAATTTAATATTGCATAGATAACTAAGAATATATTTTTGGAAATGATTAAAACAATAGTAAAATGTCATAAAATAGAACGACATTGTACACATAAGATAAAGTCAATGAGAAAGAAAAAAAAAGAAAACCCGCCAACACAGAATAATTGAAGATCAAATAAGAGGCGAATTAAAAAAAACAAAACAAATACACAAACATGAACATATTAATTCATTATTCTATTTTGCACTGTTTTTGGTAAGAAAAGAAATATACTGTTTGATCATATATATATATATATAACATATATATGACTAGAAGGAGAAAAAGGAAAAAAACCCAAGAAGGAAGACAAAAGAAATTTCATCGTAGGAATAACAGAAAAAAAAAGAATTAAAGACATTTATCACTGATTTTGTTGTCAGAACAAAAATGAGATTCAATATTGCTGTTGATCATTTCCAGCTGCCAAATATGAAAATACACAAAGAACAGCATAACAAATACGATCAGCCTATAATATAACAAAAGATTGTCAATGAATTATTTTCTTCCTTTTCTTTTTCTTCTATGAACCATTTCAACAAGCACATAAATTTATACATCTAAATACCTAAGCCATTGGTTGTCTGCTGTAAATGAGGATTAGTTTCATTGGAATCATCATTGACAGAAGACAATTTTTGACGTTCAAGCACAATAGAAACAATACGATGAAAAGCAAACAAAATGATATGCGCCTATATAACCCATTAAACAAACACAACATATAAATAATACCAAATTTATTGAATTTCTATTAACCATATACTACTAATTATACTTACCATTGAAGATTTATATTTTCGAATAAGAATTTGTTTTGTATTTGGGTCTAATTAGGTACACAAAAATTTTAAAAAACAATACAAGAAGAAAAAATTTCTTTTTTTTTTTTACCAAATTCTTCTAATACAAATATATCGCCTTTTTGTGTAGTACATTTTCGAATTTTTTGTAAATCAATAAATTCCTTGAAAAACAAAAAGTTAATTTCAATTATCATTTAAAATAGAAAATAATTTTAATTATTTACTTTATTGTTTTCAAATGTTAAACAAATACCTTCAACACAAACTTGTAAAAGTCCACCTTCACCAGTCTTAACATTTTTTATCGGAAATTCTCCACCCAATTCTTGTTCTTTATAACCAAAAAGAAAAAAAAAGGAAAATCTTGGTTTAATCAATATTCATGTTCTTACCAGGTAATGAACCTTTCATTCGAGATACTGCTTTTTCCATTGCTTCTTTTATTGAAAAATATAAATCTCGACACTAAAATAAAAAGTTGTCAACACAATTCCTATGAGATTATATAACTGCTCTTGATAATATCATAGGAAAATTGTTTTCTTCTATCTGTTTTGGGACATATTCCTTTTATTGAATCCTTCACAACTGCAATAAGGAAGTAGTTTATAGATGATAATGAGACATTATTGATATACAGTCTTTGATCGTATAGCAAAAATGTCTATCATGGTTAGTTTTATGCTATCCTGCATCCGGCTCGGAGCATGGATTCAAGTGTGAGATCATACCATACACGACAATTAATGAGATCTCGACGCTTCAAAATATGTTTACTTTTTCTAGTTGCTAATTTATTTAAAAACATAGGTGTGAAAATCTAAACAATTTACTATACTTGAGAATAGGTTATAGAAGTGAAAAGAGATATTGTTTTACTAAAAGAATTCGTCTTTAATGGAAATGCATCTATACAAGATGAGGGACCATATGACGAAATAATTGAATAAATGGAGAAGAAAATGAATTATTAAAAAGGTGAACATATATTATCATGATAGAAAACTCATTCATGTATACATCCACAACAATGACGTCTGACGCCAATATTTCACTCCATTTTAGTGTCATTAGGAACAAGAAAACATATACTAAGTGAAATTGATCGGATTTTAGCAGCAGAAAGACACCAAGTAAATCGTGAATCACTTGTTTTTTTTGTGAAAGTTGAGATGATCTCATTTTTTCTTTGTTTCTGTTTATGGAAGAAATTAAATACTACACTTTTTCATATAAAAAAAAAATTTGATAACCGTACTATGACTCTGAAGGCATCTACCCGATGTCGATTGGCTCCGATCGGATACTGCGTACAGCTATCCGAATCAGATTGTGAAAAGTCTTACTCATACAGAACATTACTCACAGTCTATAACAGAGAGGAAGGACTTTGTTAAGTCCCATGTTACAATCCATTCATTTTAGATTGCGTTTCATAAAAAAAAGATGAACTCTGGAAAATCATCAAATAAAAAAACAAAATTGAAATTCATATTTACGCGTTTTATATAAAATTTATTCAGTTGTGTTTCACCATCAGTCTTTCGCCATAAACAAATTACTTTAGTCTTTGGACAAAATGTCATATTAATTAATTTTTCAAACCAACATCGATCAAAAACTTCACCAAGTACACTTCGAAGAATAATACAATCATCCAATACCTAATGAAATTTTGTTTTCCATAAAAAAAAGTAAATAAATCATCGTTTTTTTTTTCTTATTAATTTACCTCCATAAAAAGCATATCACCGGTATTATCTGTTCCCAAATGAACAGTAAAACTTTGTTTTTGTAAAATACGACTAGGTGCTGGTCGTAAATCAATATCATTACCATTCTAGAAAAAAAATTTGCGTTTCGTTTTTTTTTTGATTGATGTTAATTTACCAAATTAGATACATTATCAATTAATTCATTAACTTGTTGACTCATGGATAAACCTATATGACATCGACCAAGCATTCGACGAACTTTTCGACGAATTTCATCTTTACTAACACGCATCATAACCATAAATGCAATTAAATTATAAAGCATAACAGCTAATAAACGATCTTCATCTAATTCAAGACGTTTTCGATCGGAATTTGATAATGAATTATAACTAAAAGAAGACAAAAAAAAAACCCGAATAATGAATTTTGCAGGTGTTGTTTTCAAAAACAAAAAAAAAGTTAATTTTGTACCGTTCCATCATTTCAGCTGCACCTTGATCAAGACCAATAATATCACGTTCTTGAGAAATAGCATCAAGAAAAACATCTTCCCATATTTGCATTCGATCCCATAAATAACTACGAGAACTGCAAACAAGAACTTCAAATAAATATTGTTTATCATTAGGAGATACAGAATTATTTTCAGCTAGTTGTATTAAAGATCCATTTCGAAATCTAAATTAATAATAAAGAAATATTCAATTTTAAAGATTTAAACGAAATATAATCAGGATCCAGTGTTTTATCCAGAGGGGTGCCCGGGGGGCCGCGCCCCCCCGAAAATCGAGTTTGCCCCCCCCCCCCCGACGCTTGCGATCATCGTACTATAAACACGTGGCTTGCCCCCCCGAAAATAATTTTTCGCCCCCCCCCGAAATTCCAAATCGCCCCTCCGGAGAAAAAATCCTGGATAAAACACTGTCAGGATCGATCTTGTTATCAAATAAGGGTAGAAATCAACTCTTCTTAAATACACAAATTTCAAACCTGTGACAGCTCACAGTTCTAGGAACTAGGTCCATTGGGCTAGTTCTTTTGAAAAGACCTGTTCACCATATCCAGTTCAGTTTTTTGATTGGGAACTGTCACATATCTAATTTTGAGTAAATCAAATAATTCTAGGACAATATATTATGACTTGTATAGAATCGGTCTCGACTAACAATGTATGGGACTATGTTGTTTTCGTTCTGATCCTGGTTCCGTCTCGATGAATCTAATCTGATACTCAATTGAAACAAACGGTGGGTGAGTAGTTTTTGAATAACTGGTGATAGAAACAAGATAGAACGCTACGGTTTTCACCAGTGGACAGAGGTGATGAAGTCGCATCGAGTCATGCATTATAGGTTCTCCTGAGATGTTTTCTAAAGTTTTTACAATAAAATTTATAAAAACAAGTCTATGACTCCTGATTAACTAAATCTAAAAATTTGAGGCTTCGCTAGTTTTGTAGATCTTCCATTGGCAGTGTGGATGTACGTCTAACAATTGAAAATTCACTATAATTGCCCCATAAGCCACGTTAGTTTTCAAATAGATCG